GAGAGAGAGAGAGAGAGAGAGAGAGAGAGAGAGAGAGAGAGAGAGAGAGACGGGAGCGAAGGCGTGGCGACGGTGGCGGGGTGTGGCGTGGCGCCGTGGTTCATGCCGTTGTGGCCGGGGTTGGCGTGTCCGTGCCAAACGGGAGCGTCCCGCTGGGATTGGAGGAGCGGGAGCGGGACGCGCTGCTACATCGCTACGGACAACGCGCGCGGGAAAAAATGAAATGGGACTTGTGTCCCCGAGAGGGGATGGGGATGGGGTGGAGCAGCGCGGGTGCTGCTGGCCGAAGCAAAAATAAATATCAAAGAGACGGGGAGGAGGCAGGAGGCAGCCGACCTCCTCCTCCCCGTGCCCCGCGGGTGGGACAATAAGCATTCCGTCTGTCAATGGGAGAAAGATTCGCAAAGACGGCCCTCTCGACGTTTCATCCGAGTCGACAGTGGCTCCGTATAACGTTTGTACTGTGTGTATAGGGAAAAAAGAAGGAAAATGATTTCAATATTAAAGGAAAAAGTCGAGGAGGAAATTGTTATCGCCATAGTATATTTATTTCCCCCACGAGAGGAAGAGAGGAGAGGCCGAGAGTTATCAAGCAGGGAGGTGTGCTGGTAGGTGTGGTGGTGGTGGTGCAAGGTGAGGGGCGCGGTGATATGGCTCGCGGGGCGAGCAGCAGCAGCTGCCGGGGCATATTGCAGCTCCGGGGCCGTGTATCGCCCGGTGCGGCGTGCGCCTTCATGTAGTACGTGCCGGTCGTGCATCACCGCCAGCGACACGGCGGCCCCGCTAACGGCCGGCGCAGGTCCGTGTGAAAGATCACCCCACCTCAGCTCCAATAAACTTTCCTCATTTCCAGGACGACGAGAAGAAGGAGGGGGAGGGTGGGGAGAGAAGAGGCGGTGCTGCTGCTGCTTCTCCAGCACTCTATCCATTTCCTTATCTAGATCGGCTCCGGTCTCGGCTCCAGGAGAGAGCAGCTGGAGAGCCTCCGCCGGCGCTTAGGCTCCAGCAGCTCACAGCCGGCGCTGCCGCCCCGCCTTCTCTAATCCCAGGTAAACGGCCGCGAATTCGATTATTTAGCATTCAAGGCGACGTGCTCGGCATCTCTGGAGCGGCCAGGGCCTCCCCTTCCCGCGAACAGATAGCAGCGCGGGGAGAGCCATTCGCCGGGCTGATGTATGGCGCCGCGCACCCCGCCCCGCCAGGGAGGAGGGAGGGCGGACCTAACGAACACTTGAAGCGGGGGCCGAGGCGGGCGCGGTGGAGACGCCGCGGAGGGCGTCGAGGAGGACGCCGGGGAGCCAGAAGACGGCGCGCACCCCGCCGCGGACCGCCGTGCCGACCAGCGCGGCCTTGGAGCGGAGCAGGTTCACGAGCGCCGCGCCCACCCCGCCGGCGTCCGCCGCGGGCGGCAGCAGCTGTCCGGCCTGAGGCACGGCTTGCTGTTGTCCGGCCTGAGCAACGGCGGCCTGCTGTCCGGCCCGCTGTCCGGCTGCTGTCACGGCGGGAGCCACCTGTCCCTCCGCCGGCCAGGACGAAGCTCCAGCTGGGACGTTCAGATACGGGGTGCGCAACGTCCAGGGGCTTTCGGGAGTGACGGCCCCGGGGCCCAGGAGGCTGAGCGGACGGGTGGCGAGGGCGCCCGAGGGTTGCCGCGGGTATTGCTGGCTAGGGTATTGAAAAGCACCATCTGAAGCCTGTTCGACCGGCCGACCCCCTGCGGCGTATTGTTGGACAGGGTATTGCGAAGCACCATCTGATGCCTGCTGCACCATCGGCCGACTACCCGAGGTGTATTGCTGGTCGGGGTATTGCGAGGAGCCGCCTGACACCTGCTGGACTTGCTCATTCCCCCCGGTGTATTGCTGGCCGGGGTACTGTGAACCGCTGGCCGGTGCCCGTTGCGATTGGAGACCGCCCCCCGGGTACTGCTGCCCAGTGTATTGCGGGGCGCCGTTAGAGGTCTGTTGGGCGGGCCGGTTTACGCCAGGGTACTGCTGCCCGGCGTACTGAGAGTCCGAGGCCCGCTGCGTTGCTGGGCTCACTCGGGTGTATTGCTGGCCGGGGTACTGCGAGGAGCCCTCCGAGGTTTGCTGGGACGGCCGACCGGTGTACTGCAGGTCAGGCTGCGACGCCGCCGCCGTGTCGGCTGGACAGAGAAAGTACAGAGAGGAGAACGTAAACTCAGTAAGTTATTAACAAACTCTCGACGGCGTGCTCAACGCTACGCCGTGTGACTTGCTCACCTGACCCCGCCGAGGCCGTCGGCGCGTACCATCCCCAAAGCGGAGCGTACTCGAGGGGCGCCAGGCCCTGGCTGTCCTGCTGGCCGAGGCCCTGCTGGCCGAGGCCCTGCTGGCCGAGGCCCTGCTGCTGGGGGAGCCCCTGCTGCTGCTGCTGAGGGAACGGAGCCACCTGGAATGAAATCGCGTTACACACTCCCCGCATCATGGCGGTTATGAAAATGAGATGGCAAGCGCGCGGTGCGCGAGGCGAGGGGGGAGTGCGGCGCTGCAGGTGCCGTGGTCCTCCCCCAGGGGAGCAGGGCAACAGCAGCACCGCAGGCGCGCGGTGTGCCAGCTGTGCACAGCTGTGCCGTCGATACGGTACCTGTCCGCAGCGGGAGGCGAGCAGCGCGACCGTCAGGACGACACGGAGCGGGTGGCGCATCCTGCCCAGAACCACCACGGCGGTCGGGGTCGGGGCGGCGAGGGTCCGGGCGCGCGGTGCTGCTGCGTCTCCTCGGCCTCAGCTGTAGCAGCAGCAGCAGCGCTGCGGGGAGAAAGAGAGCGGCGGCATGAGAATATAAGGGCGGTGGCGGTGCGGCTCGTTACACATTACAAGGGTGCCGCCGGGGCACCAACCGGGGCGTGAGGGGTGGCACGGTACCGCGTACCGGAATACCGCACCGGCGGGTGTATAGCGTATGGGGCCAGCGTACCGTATACACCGCGCTGCCGTACCGGGTTGCGCAGGGGGCGCGCCCGCGCTGCTGAGCCCCGGAGGGATTAGTCGTAGAGCTAACAGCGAACGAGGTCAAGGTCGACAGGTGCTGCTGCCGCTATTGCTACCGCCGCTGCTGCTACTGCTGCTGCCGCTACTGCTCCACCTGCGGTGGTGGGATTAAGCTAGAGCAAACACAGGTGAGCGCCAAAAAAACATGATGCCCCTCCTCCTCCTGTGGGGGGCCAGCAGGTGTGTGTGCGGAGGCGATGGGGCACGGGGGCAACACCAGGGCGGGCGGGCAGCTCTCTCCCCATCCCCGGACCCCTTGTACTACCCTCTCCTCTCTCATCCTAACCCGACTCGCCCGACCCCTCCGCATACCAACGTCACGGCCCTCTGCACAATAATTATGATTCCGATCAGGTCTGCAAGTGGGGGGGAGGGGGGGGCGATCA